AATAGTCTGAAAAAGGTACAAAAATGTACAGAAATCTCAGTTACAAACCATATTTTTGAATAATTATTTCATTAACAGTCTTGGGTTAAGGAGTATATGTCCCTATAAAGTTTCAATTTGTATAATAAAGTGACAAACCTATTCTTTTAAAAGCAGACATGGAAGTACTATTTTGATGTGCAGTCTTTTAGACAATGGATTATTTTTCTGTATGTTAATTTATATATGGATGCAACTTTGAAGACTACAGAATGGTGGAACCTGATATTAAACTTTTCAATTAGTAAAAACTACAGTTACTTTAAGACATAAATTATTTATTAGCTAATAGCTTGTACATAGTGAATGAATGTATTAATAACAGACTGAGCTTGTGAAAGAAGATTGTTCTGGGGCCATGATTTTTCTGTCTCAGAACTGATCATTATAGAGAAGCAATTGCATGCATTTGAATATTCATTTTTCTCCTTGGGAAAGTATTCATGACTGAATGAAAGCTTGAAAAAAAAAAAAAAAAGTCAAATGTTTAAAATGTGAAAGTGGCAGTAAATTGAGACCTGTGAGTCAGTTAGTAATTATTTTCTCTCTGTATTTTGTACTTGAATAACTATAAATATGGTCCAAAAGGAGAGGGGAGGGAAGTTTAGCAATATTTTTTTATATTCACATTGCACAGAAGTATAGCACAGTGAATAGCTCAGAAAATGGGGTAGAAGGTCAAATTTTCAAAATTGGAATAGAGTACAGATGGAAAATCTTTTTGTAGTGTGCAAGAGTATTTGAAAAATACTGTGAAATGGAATTGACTGATGGAATGCTAGTGAAGATTGCTTAATAGGGTTTTAACACATTTCTGTAATTTATACTTATATATATGTATATTTTTCGGTATGAAAACTAGAACAGATGAAAATTTAGTATTAGCCGATTTTTATTAGTTTTTAGCGCCTATTTTATTTATACCTCAGCTAAAATATCCTCATTTGTCTGTGCTTAGGAAGAAAGCAAGCAATAGCAAAAGACAATTGGCATTAGATTTAATAACTTCCTAAAGGTTTGCAATTTTCCAGTGACTTTTTACTTTAAAAGAGTTTTAATTATGTGTTGAAACCTTTTACTCTTTTTTTTATAACTTGGATTCAGTGCATAGTTCTCCAGTGCTGACCAGTGGCCCCAAGGAGCAGTTTAAAAAGGAGCATGAGCATACTGTGTAACAAGGAGTGGGAGCTGAGAAATTTGAAGAACATAGAAGGAAATGGAAGCAAAACCAGACATTGTGACTGTTTAGAGCCTGAGAAAAGGAATATGCTGGGGAATGGTGTTAAGGCACCAGCTCAAGGATGGGTTTATAATGAAGGAAAGAAGATAGACTTTATGTGTTTGCCACACGTGTGAAGGATGAGTGGAAAAGATTTGTAGATGTTTGCACACAGATCTGAGAGGGACAGAATAGTAGTAGTAGTGCCAGAGAAGGGCAGGAGGGGCCTGTGAGAGATGGGATGAATCATGGTGGTAGATAAACAGCTGTGGGGGCATAGAGCTGCAATTTTCTTGCAAACAAAGGGGAAATTTCAGAGGAGCTACAGCTCATTGCTAAATAGAACGTTCTGAAGTTTTTCCATAGGAAAGTAATTGCTTGAAGGGTGTTTTATCCCCTAATGAAGTGCTGGATGGCTAAAAGCTGAAGCCAGATTATGCATCAGTACCTTTGGGGTGTAACCCCAGAGAAAACTCCACTGGAAGGCTGATCGCCTTGGGACAGCAGAATCCTAGCTTTCAGGAAGAATAAAATGGGGTGCAATGGCAGATTTTATTTCCAGGAAGCACCTGGAAAGAGGAGATACTAGTGATGGAAGTACGAATGACATTAAGGGCTGTTGTTCAAAGAATTTTGTAAAGAAAATAAGTGTTACAGTGGAAATGGTTCTCTTGAGTTACCTCAAAAACTTTTTTTTCTTTAAATATTTATAAACTAAGGCTGATGAAAGTATTCATTCCAGGTTGTAATACAAAGGAGAGTTAAATCTGTTTTACTTTCAACAGCCACTCAGTGCTTGAAGTGCTAATTGATTCATGTTGACTTTATTTGCCTTAATATTTGTACATGTCCAGTGTGCAAGTAAGGGCACAGATAACTATTTAATCCCCCATCAGAACTTCCTCTCATGGAAGGCTACTCTCAGGGTTGTCAGTGCAATAAATTTGTTTGCTGCAATTTCATTACTTCCCATGTAACTAATATATAGCAAAGTTGTTGATTTCTGGTGGGGGAAAAAAAAAAGCTATGGGCAGAAAACAATCTACAGGTTCTTATGAGTAGTTAGGCAGTGCTTGCAAACCAGTTAGTCTAAGCCAATCTGATAATACTTAAATAATAGAAATTTAGGTAATAGGACAGTGTTTGTTTCTTTTGTTCATACTTCTGTTCTGTGCAAACTTCTGGGTTTCTGTTCCAGGAATGTTTTTTTTCACCAAAGTAGTCAAGATGAGTCTCTTTGATGTGCTTGAAGATAAACATTCTGTGGTTCCTGTTGAATTAAAGCTGTTCCTAAAATAAAATGCATTTTCCAGCACTGGGCTGTGTGGATGACCAATATGTGAGGTAGAGGAAAAAATGCAACTTATGTTTACTTACGTGTGTGTTCAGGTCAGTTCCTCCTTGGCTGTGTCAAGACTCACAGCAGGCATTGATGTGCTGTGCATTGCTGCAGAACTTGGTTTAAACCTGAACCAAACCGTGAATTATTAGTGAATGACTGCTTGCTTGTATTTTGAGACTACAACTGGGATTTTAATAACAGCGAGAGAAGGATGCAGGAGGTGGGTGTGTGATTTCTGTGAAAACCAACAGCACAAGCATATATGATCCCAGGAGTCCAGGGCACAGAAAAACCTTTGCTTTTGATCTGACCTGTTACGGCTTCTGGCCATGGTGTCTTCCTTGAAGGACAAGAACGGTGTGCTTATCTCAACAGGACCCAACAGTTACATGGGCCAGGTAAGATCTTATTCAAAGAAGCAACTAAAATCAGTTTTCGCTAATACACTGTTGTAGACTGGACAGGTATTTTCTCTCTCCTTATTCACCTAAGTGTAATGCATGTCTGGTGTTCATTACTTTGAAGTATTACTAATTAATTATTAATAACTACTAGTGTTACCTACATTTTTGTCATCCTGGAACTGAGCACCAAAATGTAGCACATGCTCTCACACAGAATCACAGAATAAACTGAGTTGGAAGGGACCCACAAAGATCACCCAGTCCTGGCCCTGCACATCACCATCCCCAAGGGTCACCCCATGTGCCTCAGAGCATTGTCCAAACATTTCTCGAACTCTGTCAGGCTGGTGCTGTGGCCACTTCCCCGGGGAGCCTGTTCCAGTGCCCAGCCACCCTCTGGGTGAAGAACCTTTTCCCGATGTCCACCCTAAACTTCCCCTGGCACAACTTCAGTTCTTTCCCTCTGGTTCTGTCACTGGCCAGCAGAGAGAGATCAGTGCCTGTGCCTCCTCTTCGATGTCATGAGGAAGTCGTGGATTGCCATGAGGTCTCCCCTCATTCTCCTCCCCGGTGGACAGACCCAGTGACCTCAGCTGTTCCTCATACAGCTCCCCTGCTAGGCCCTGAGGCCCCCACGGCCCATCTTGCTTGCTCTCCTCTGGATGCTCTCCCAGAGTCGAGTATCTTCCTTTGACGGTGTCTCCCGGACCGCAGTGTTCGCTGCGGCAGGAGACGGACACGTTGTCTGTGGGAGCAGCCAGCAGCAGCTCTCCCCGGCTGGCCCGGCCGGTGGAGGCGGGGCGCGCTGCCTGCGGGTGCCTGACAGCAACATGGCTGCTGCTTAGCCGGGCTGGGCCTTGCTGTCGGGAGCCGTGCTGCCTGACAGACAGCACGGGAATTGCCCGACTGGCTGCTCTGCCTAGTAAGGCTTCGGATATAGCTTTGGAGAAACACTGGTGACAGGCCGTCCCCGGTGTGACGCTGCTTTAGTGGTGTGGTGGAGAGAATAGAATCCTTAAATTATCAGGAGAAAGTCACTGAACACCAGGCCCTGTTGCGGGGTTGCAGGTGTTTCTGCAGTTGATCTTGTCAGGTTGCTGGTTGTAAAAACCTGTTGGAGAAGTAAATGTTCCAAATCCATGTGGATACAGCCTTGGGCAGCCTGCTTTAGCTGATGGCTGGGGCAGCAGGACAGTTGGACGAGATGGTTGTCAGCGGTTCCTGAAGGCCATTCTGGAATTCCGTTAGGAAGCCACGATTCTAGAACTGGTGCTGGGAGGGACAAGCAGTGAAATACCACACTGTTGTGTTCTGTACTGAGCCCCTATGTCTATCTGGCCAGGTAAAGGAAGCAATGTAGAGACAAGCATTGACTCAGCACAGACCTTAGCAAATTTGCTTGCTTGGCCATGTTAGGCTGCAATTCTTGAAAGAAACCAGAGTCGTGTCAGACAAGAACCACAGCAGATAGCTGGGTGAATTTGCTCTAATGTCCAATTCTGATCTTTGTTGGTTTTGTTTGTTTTCTCACTTAAAGGAAAGTCAAACCTTTGGTCTGCATCTAATACAGAATCTTAGCTGCTGGGGGCTATTGGGATAGCCTGATGTGCTGAAATGCTTTCTACTTCTTATCTTCTGCTGCAGGTTTATGTTTCCTGAAGAGCACAAACTTTTTAAAATTCTGAGAACAAATCTTGCTAACATGTATGAGTAGACTTGAACTTGGTGTGTTGTTTTCCCTGTTATTGATCTTGTCCATCCCTCTGGGTCACTTTTTGTTGGTGATCTTGTAGGCATCAGAAAAGCTCAAGATTCTCCATTTGCTCTGCTGTGAGATGAAAAAATGTCCCAAGTACCATTTCTTTTAAGCAGAAAAGATCTACAAATGATGTATGGGAGATTTGTCACTGCATACTGATGAAGCTTGGGTCAGTTTCAAAGATATTTATGGCTGACATGAGTCTTTTTGCCTTTTTTTCTTTATTTGCAGTGAAGAATGCGAGACCTAACGGCTCAGGTAACGAGCAGTCTGCTGCAGTTTCCAGAGGTGACTGTTGAGGCACTTGGGGAAGATGAGATCACCCTAGACTCTGTGCTGTGTGGGAAGTTTTCTGGAGGTGAGCATTTTCTTTTAAATTTGGATTTGGTGTAAAGTTGTTACTGCCTGAAGCACAGGGTCATAGCATCAGGTTGGTTCTGTTAAATAAAATGCATCGGGTTCTGCTGACAGGATATTTTAACAATTGGAAGTGCTAAGCATTGAAAGTGCAACAGCCTGCTCCAATCCTGTGCTATTTAAGTAATATAGCTGACCATGTCCTCCTCAGTTTTGAATGAAATAGAAGGCAGTTTTCAAGAAAGAAATAGTGTTGTTTTGGGACAAATTTCTTTATCCCAAGCTCTACGCCCATCATAACATCCCATGCAGAAGTAGTTACAGAGACACAATAAGCTCCTTTTTCTTCTCTAGTCCAAATAAAAAATGGAAAGAGGACAGCTCTGTTAAGAACTGCCGATGTATTATTTAATAGGCTGCAGATGAGACCCAGTGAGAGTTGCTGAGAGCAGCTAAGCAGATTAGGCAGTTGACTTTCTCAGTGATCTGAAGGTAGAGCTGGATGCCTGTGTGGATGTCTTGGCATCTGTTAAGACCAGGTAGAATCTTATCTCCCTGTCTGTAAGTGCAGTAGTGGAGCTAATCCTTCCTATGAGCTTGAAGTTCCTCAACTAAGGAACAAGTGTTAAATTCTTCAGTGAAACAACACTTGTTAAATTCTTTCTGGGATGTGCAGGTGTAGAAGTTGAAATTTACGGATGCAGTGCCCACTTGAAGATAATTTCCTGTCCGAATCCCTGCCCAGAGTAGTCGTGCATCAAGCAGAATTCTTAACTGGAAATGAATTGGTTTAGATGGGCTGTGTGTGAAGTATGCTTTGAGACTTTGTACATATTTAGGTGTTTTCTAGCAAAAGCAATCCAAGTATGGGATACAGCCTAGAGCTCAGTGTATTGTAATCTTTATCCCAAAGAGTCAGCGTTCTTGAGTGCAGGGAAGACAAGTACAAATGCAAAAGAATGGGATTATTAATTCTAAGATGTATTGGTTGAGGATCGCAATGGGTGGTTTAAAAGAATGGTGGGGATGTGGGTAGGTTGCCCTTCCTCCCTTTGGTGCACTTGAGGGAAAGGCCCAGTGCCAACACCCTTGCTGTTGTTTCAGTTCTTGTGCTGGGGATTTGTTCAGTGGTGTTTCTTTTGCCTTGCAGGCAGAAGTGGCCTGGCGTGGCTGGCGTGTGGTCCCCAGCTGGAGGTGGTGAACTCAGTGACAGGAGAGCGTCTCTCTGCGTATCGCTTCAGCGGAGTGAACGAGCAGCCTCCCACTGTTCGCGTGGTGAAGGAGTTTTCTTGGCAGAAGAGGACTGGGCTCCTGGTTGGCTTGGAGGAAGCAGAGGGAAGTGTTCTCTGTCTGTATGACCTTGGGACCTCAAGAGTGGTTAAAGCAATTGCTCTTTCAGGGAGGGTATGTATCTTTTTGGGGAAATGAGGATTTTGTGTTGTTTGGTGCTGCATATTTCCATTTCAAGAATAGCTTTGGAATGTCTCTTTGAGGGTTGTATGTTTTCTGTATTGTATTAACATACTGCCAGTTCTGATTATCCAGTCAAGAGAACCTTTTTCTAAACACCCCTTTCTGCATTTTTGTCATGTTTGTTTTAAGGCTTTAAGGAGCACCATGTTTCCGGTATTATTTCCCATGTGAATTTATAGTGATTGCATGTTTCAGGACTGCCATATGGTATTTTACCAAACTTTATTGGTTTGTATGAGGCAGAAGGTCAGCATTCAGATTCAGTGAGCTGAGTAAAGTTTTTGTTGTTCTTCCTCAGAATGAGTTGTCAGAGCACTAGGAGAATAGAGAAAACATAGCATAGCATAGTGGAAAAAGATGTCATTTCAGGAGCTTCTACGTGGAACATTTTTGAAAGACTATGCAAATCTAGTAAAGATTCATTTGGAGCCAGTTGTACTATGAAAAAATATCTTAAAAGGAAAATACTAGAAGCAGCAACCCTTGAACCTTTTCTAATTACACAGCAAGATGTGTTCTATATTTCCTTGGCGCAGTCACTAAGACTTGAAGCACAAGAATCTGAATAACCAAAATACTCTTGTTAGTCCTCTGAGCAGTAGAGAAGATTGAAAATTTAATTTGAATCATAGGAATTCTGAAAGAAAATAGAGTTGCTTGAATTTACTAGAGGTACATATAAGCTTGGAGTTCTTGTGTTGAAGGTAAATTGTATAGCAGGTGGCTGGGCAGTGCAGTCATAAGCAAGTGCTTGATACAGGAGAGAACTTCAGGGAGCCTTTGAGTTTGGCTATTTTCCCCCACTTCTGGGGGTAAATAACCTACATAAAAAGATGGACTAGCTTGTGACTCTCGCTTCTTTGCTTTGTTTTCAGACAATGCTTTGTTGCTGATGTAAAGCTGTCTGCTTTCATGGTGCTGCATTTGTAAGAGGCCAGAAGATAGCCTCAGTTCTTGTGTTGTCCAGCTATAGTGCAGGAGCCGTGGAGTGCTTGTGTGTGCTAGAGCAGTCAGTGCTGTCCTGGCTGTGCTGTGGGTGCTGAAGGGTCTGTTTTCACCTTGTGCTGAGGCTGTGGGGACTGCTTGGTGTGTCAGGGAGCAGAGGGAGCTCCTGCCTCAGGCTGAGCAAGTTCTTGTTTGGTCTCTTGCTGTTGTTTTAGGCTGCCTTTTACAGTTTTCTCTGCCATCTGTAACAGTGTAAGCTGGTGTGCATTGAAAATTTTTGTTAGATATTACCAGTCAAAGTGAGGACCAGTGTAGATTTTAGTAAGCCAGCATCTCTCTCCAACCCTTTCTAGGAATGTTTCATTCCCATGGAAATCTTATCCTGTATTTCCTTTCCTGTTTCTGCTGTGCCAATGCTGGCTTCCCTTCTGAGTGATTACTCTTGAGCCTGTCACAGAGCTTGGATACTAAGCTGCAGTTCCCTGCAGGTGACGGCCATCGAACCCATCAGCAACGACGGCGGAGCCAGCGTGAGCACCCGGCACCTGCATCAGAGTCTGCGATGGCTCTTTGGAGTGGCAGCAGTGGCCACAGACGTTGGCCATGTCCTTCTGGTTGACCTTTGTTTGGATGATTTGTCTTGCAGTCAGAATGAAGTAGAAGCATCGGGTAAGCTGCTGTTTTTAAACTTGAATTTAGAGGTAAGAAGATTTGTTTCTTTTCCAAAGCCAGCTCGTATCCCAGTGAAATCCCAGCGTGCTGACGGACTACTGCCATTTCTGACATTGCTGACTGCTGATTGGAGATGGCAGTTTGATGTGGTGTGGTGCTGAACTGATCAAAAAATGGGGAGTGGCTTAATACTGCTGCTGATGTTAAGAACGCCTCTTGCTGCCCACATTCCCTTGTCCCTGTGATTGTTACCAGTGGGAGTAGGAATTTTTCCATTTGAGTCAGTGCAGCTGCGTGACAGGAAGTTGTGTTAGAGGTACCATAATTCTTGGGAGTGTTCTCCTGTTTCCATTAATGACTTGTGTCAGGCTTTAGGCTTGTGTTTTAAAATAAATGTATCTTATCAAAAATTCTGCATTTGGGTCAGTGAATACGGCAGTTTGTGTTTTCAGATTGCATACGCTGTTTTGGGTGTGGTAAGAGTGGCTTCAGGAGCTCAAGTAGCTTCATCATGAGGCCCAAACTCCTGCTTTATAGGGTGCAAGAAGAATTTGGCTACAATGGTTACATTTGTACCAAGTTTTGAAATAGGAGTGACAAGACCCATCCCATTGGAGAGTGCTTCTGTTTCTGAATGGGTGCAGAGACAGGAGTAGCGAAAAAAAGGTGCTGCAGAAATGGGTGTTTTGCTTGGCACGGTAGAATTAGATTGTACATGTTGTATAATCACATCAGTTTAAAATGTAATGGAAGTTGCACAATGCATTAATTTCTTGCCTGTTTTTCTGTGTGTAGATCTCGAAGTTGTCACTAGAATTCCTGCTGAAGTTCCACAAAGAAGAGAAGCTGTGACCAGAGAAGGGAGGCATCTCTGTTTTCAACTACGAAGTCCTTCAGGAACAGCAGTATCAACCCTGTGCTACATAAGCAGAAGCAATCAGCTTGTTGTGGGTTTTTCTGATGGCTACTTGTCTCTGGGGAACATGAAAACTTTGAAGAGGGCGTAAGTAGTCACTTCCACTTTGTCACTCTTGGAGGTACAGGGAATCTCAATCTGTCTGCTTCAGGAAATATTTTAATTTCAAGAGCCCTTTTTCTGTGAGTGGGATGTTGGGTATAACCTTGGAGTGTTCAGAAATCCTCTTCTGAAATAACTAATAACTCCTATGTGAATTAAGTGCAGCGCCTTCTCTGCTGTGGACTGCGATTGATTTCTTGCCATGACTGTGGACAGAGGTCTTATGGAAAGTACTGGGTCATGTCAGACAGTCAGGATGTGAGAGATCTGATTTTTATAAGTCAGTTTGTTCTGTGCAGTTGTATCCAGTGAAACAAGATGATGTGTGTTTTTCCATGTGACTGGTTTTAGAAATTATTTCTCAGAGCCAGTTACTGCAATTAGGGCATGCACTGAAAGGCTTCAGTATATGCATAATGTCTTTTTGTTGATTATTTTTCTTTAAGGGACCAGGATGGAACTAGTGTGATAAGATAATTCAATAGCTGCTCTGTGCCTGAAAGCATATTCTTTCCTACATTTCAGCCTTGATGCAAGTAGGGGATTGACCCATTCCAAGGCATAGATGTACATGAATCAGATTTTCTTTGGAAGCCTTCGAGATGAGAATAAGAAACATGTAAATTAATAAACAATAAAAAAAAAAAGATAAAAAAGATATTTTTCAAAATCTGCTGAAGAGCAATCATACTTCAAATACTTGGCCAAATTCAGACAGGGGCTTGCTTTAGCAAATCTGCAGTTACCAAAAATTACTGCTACATAAATAGATAGTGGAGACATAATTAGATGTCAGGAAAAGGTTGTGAAGGTACAACTAAGGTTCAGTCTGAAAGAAAAAGTTTGTAACAATGTCCAAGTAATGAAATGAGAAGCTCCTTGTGTTTGGTGTTGTTTTAAATACGTGCAGATTTACTGTATTTTAAGTTCAATATTCAAGTAGGTTTCAGGAACAGTGTTTTTCCTAGCAGCTGAACGATTAATTTCTTTTCCTCCTCCTCAGGCAGAGGAGGACATAACCAGAGGTTATTGCTTTGATGGACAGAAATCTCCTCACCTTGACTGGTGCATAAAAAGTCACTTGCTTGACTCGACTGTTTGTCTTTTCTGGATTTTTTTCAAACTTGTAGGCACTACACTCAGCTTGGAGGAGGAAGGATTCCTGTCTGTGCTCTTACTTTTCAAGAGCCCGAGAGTGATCTCCAAAATTGTTGCTACTTATGGGCTGCTCAGTCTACACAACAAAGGTGAATAAAAATTACCGTAAGCCACTGATTTTTTTTTTATTTTTTATTTTTTAATATTTGTTCACATAGAGCTATCCCTAAAAGAGGCCAATGACAGTATTGCTAGTTTCTTCATGAGAGCTTCTGAAGTCTTTGGAGTCCTTGTGTGCCATTTCAGCTTCCCTGGCAGAAAAGGAATAATGTTCAGCAAACCAATCAATGGTTTCCAGCTGGGATAATGAATAAGAGTATGGAAGTGTGTGCTGCATGCAAGAGAGGGACTAGAACTTAGGTGGGACCTCTCTTAGCATCAGCCAGCTACTTAGCCCAGCTGTTCATAGAGTGGCAGTCTTCTTGAGCTTGAGTTCAAAGCAGTTTTCATGGAGAATATTTCCCTATTTTAGGTCCATGTTGCATATTAAAGGTTTTCAGTGGTATAGTTAGCATTTGCCCCTGAAGCTTTTGTGTCAAAATTTCCTCCTTTATGTTTTACTGGCTAAGTGTGACCAATTATCATGTTTTTGGAAGCAGTGTTTTTCTTTGCAACAAAAGCATGCTCTTAAGTTAGTTTCAGCTTAGATGTAATAAAATGAAAATGAGGATTGTAAAGCTGTTTTTTAATCAAATTTCCTCATTTATTTCTTTTTCAGTGAAGGGAATGCTGTGAATTTACATCTGTTGCAGTTAGCATTTGGTGACAGGAAACGCCTGGCATCAGGACAAGTCATGTACGAGGTAAGACAGGCTTGTATATGAGAGATGGAAAGAAGAAGTTTCCCTGAGTATCAGTTAAGTTAGCTCTTTGTATATAAATGAAAGCTGAAATTTCTAGTCATTAAGATATTTGAATGCCTGATGAGTTTATGGAATTATAGTGCTTTATCTTATGGAACTGTCCTTTAGTATGGTGGACATCTTGTTCAGGTCAGCATCTTTTATTAAAATTGATTTTATCTTTAGTAATTTTATAAGAAAGATAAGATTCTTTGCTTAGGCTTCATGTTAGTTTTTTAAAGAGCTGGTTTTGATTTTTCTTAGCTACAGTGCATGAATATGTGTTATTTCCAAAATTACTGAATAAAATAGAACGGAATGTGCATGCTTCAGGACAAATTTTACTATTTTTTCTTTTCAGTGATGAAAGAATTTTTAATCTATTAATTTACTTTAGACAACTTTTATATTTATTTGTAGCATTTCCTAGAACCATTAAGAGAAAACTTGTCTCTTCTCAGATTAGAGGAATTAAATGTAGAGAATGAGAATGTTGTTTCATGCCAGTCCATTTTAGATCTCTGAAAGTTTAGGAAACTTGTTTTTTGTTTGGAATTGGTTTTGCTGGTTTTTTTTAGTTTGGTGTTTTGTTGGGCTTTTTTAATGGCAGAGCTGCTATTTTCCCACAATACACACATATTCACATATTGTATGGTAGACAGGTTAAGTGAAGGCTGTACTGGAAAGACAGAATTTCAGTTAATGCTTCCGTAGAAAATGGTGGTGGCAGAGGTTCATGGCCATCCCTTCTGTATATCTATTTCTGTGTATCTCAAAGCAGTTTGCTTACTCTGTTGTAACTTGGAATCTTAAACACATTGTCCATGTTAATCCCATGTGCGTCCATAAGGAATTGAGGGATGTTTCTCTGGTAAGAGCTCATGTGGTTTGAAGGAAGGTTTTAAATCTCTAGGAAGTTCTCATTGTTTCTAGAGAGATGAGTGTTCACTCTACTGATGTGCCTATCAATAATGTCTCATGACAGACCGTTAGCTGCTGTAATGTCAGGTTCTGTAATTAAAACATGGAGCAAAGGCTTTGTGTGAAGATGTGTTACATTGTTTCAGATGTCTCTTTGTAAGTATAGATTCAGGTTTTTAAAGACACCTTGATGATGCAAGGAATTCTTCAAAAAGTGTTTAGATCTAGACTAGAGTTAGGGAAATGCTAAATTTCGAAAATGTGCAAAAGCCTTTAGAGCCAAAACTTGCCCGTTATGACTTGACACTTAATTCTCTTGCATGTCAGATGTGGCTCCTGTTGATGGCAAACATACAGTAAAATAAGCATATTATATCAGATATTTGCAATAATTCATATTTAGGTATAATGCATGTTATTATTTCAAAATTGCCTTTCCTCTCTTCTTCGTTTTTTTCTCGCAGGGTTTTAAATACTGTGTCAAACTCTTCAGTTTAGCTCTCTCTGGTGGAATCTTTCCCTTGAGAGGGCAGACCAGCAATACTAAATTCCTCAGCTTTCAGACCATAGAAAAATTTCGCAACCATGCTGACAGAGAGGATAGCGTTAATGAAGGTTTGTTCTCGTGTACCTGCTTGGTTATTCTAAACTACATGGTTTGGAAATCTAAGCAATGAATACTGTTCTATACCCACAGTCTTAAATATTCATATAGCTGACCTTGCAGGGCTTATTAAAAAAAACAAAACTGTGTGTTTAAGTTACGTGAGACTTCTTATCCCTCTGAACATCATACTTTAAGGGAATAAGTAGGGTTTATTTTACTGTTTCCTGGGGTGCTAGAGCAGTGTATGGGGTCATCTGTATAAGGCTGGTCAGTTTGTTCTGCCAGTAGTCTGCACTGAACAATAAGATGATTCTGTCTGTTGCTTAGGAATGTTACCTGAATTTGACTTGCATATGGAAATCAATCATGCTCCCTGAATGATAAAACTGTACATGATAAACACAAGTATGCTTTCTAAAAATAGAAGTCTGTGTGTTCCTAGCGTATTTTTCCCCCAAATTATTCATCCAGCATATAAAACTTAATAAATAATTGTGTACAATTTAAAACACATATAATTTGAATAAGAAAAAGAGGCAGTATGACTGAAGCCTATTGCAGAGGTGGTTGTTATTTCATAAATTTTTTTATCATTCCTAGTAAAGAGACGTGTTTCATGAGAGAAATAACAGCAAATATCTCATATTTTCTACAGTAAGAAACAATGTCTTGTCTTTGACAGTAATCTCTCCTGACACCAGTGTATCGATCTTCAGTTGGCAAGTGAATACACACGGTCAAGAAAAACCGTCTGTTTATTTGGGTGTGTTTGACATCAATCGCTGGTATCATGCTCAAATGCCAGACTCACTGAGGTAGGTTTTAATGAAGTGGTTTCAATATCCCTACAGAGGGTTAATTTGAAAATTGCTGTTGAACTTATGCACTTGTTTTCTTTAAGGCCAGAAGAATTCCTTCATGATTGCCCCTATTTTGCACTGTGGTCACTGGATCCTGTAATAAGCATGACTTCTCCAAACCTCATTTTGGATATTCTGGTACACGAGCGTAGTCTAAGTCGGGGGGTTCCTCCTTCTTATCCACCACCTGAACAGTTTTTTAATCCAAGCACCTATAATTTTGGTAGGTATTTCACTGCTTTTCATTTGAGTAGTGACAAGGTTCAGTGGAGGTCAAATGCTACTTGGTGGTTCTCTTTCTTGTTCATTGCTTGTCACACAAAATGCCAAGCAAGAAAAGCCCCATAAACCTTCTCAGACCTGGTTACCATGTCCTGACAAGGTGCTTACTCTAGTGAAACGTATCTGACAGGCTGCTGAGTTTTGGGTTTGGGGGCTTCTGTAACATAGCCCAGGAAGGGCTGATGGTCATCGAATGAAATGCCCAAAGCACAGCACCTGGGTAGCGGTTGAGCTTAAGTTTCTACAGACAGAGTGTAACTACTTTTAAGGAAAGTGTGTCAGTGATGTGATGAAGGAAAGGGGTGCTGGAGGTTTGTCTTTTAGACAAATAGAGCACTATTTAAAAAGCATAAACTGGCGATCAGGTAACGACGTCTGTCAAACGTTCCTTGTTCCTGCAGATGTGACATGCTTGCTCAACTCGGGAATTGTTCACATGACTTGCACCGGCTTCCAGAAGGAGGTGACTTTTTTTTTTACTGTATTTCTGTTGGGACTGTTAAGAGATGAACCTTTTCTAACTTTTCTCTTGCAGTGCTTTGAGTGTCAGAGACCACTTTATGCTCACACTGCCCACTTACATGCATTTCCTGCCAGTTCCATGCAAATGGTACAGACTGTTTTAGGGAGGCATGAGCAGGGAGTGAATGGCTGGAAAGGAATGCAGCATTGTTGTAGTAGGAAGAGAGAGTGTGGTGGAAGTGGAGGAAAGTGTCTACTTCTTTGTATAGTGTGGAGTTAGGGTTTTGACCCCAATGAACTTGAGAAAGGAGGACAGCATGGAGAATGGGAAAAGTGATTAAACTGTTTAAGAAGAAATGCATGTTTTTTCTCTCAACCTTGGCCAAGGTATAACTTCTGAGGCACTGCACAGCTTGTGACAAACCCTTTCAAATTAAGTTCCAGCTCACTAAATATTGCAACATGAATCAGCTTCTGCAAAAACAGCACAGAAGTGTGATTTAAAGTTGTGTGTTAGGTTTAACTTCAAAAGAATGTAATTTGCATCAGGGAAAATACTCGGGCCTGTGTATTGACAAACAGGCTGGAAAATACTTCCTTTAGCATTGCAAGGGTTGGTATTTTCTTCTACAGGGTATTTTTTTTTAAATTGAAACCATTGGTATGGGTGTTGTTTTTAAAACAGAACTTTAGTGATTGAATGTTGTCTTAACCTGTGTGTTTTGATTGATGTTTCAGACTCTGAAGTTTTTGAAGAAATCTGGTCCTTTAGTAAGTGAAGCCATTCATGACAGCTACACTCGGTGTCTTGTAGCTGGCTTGCTGTCTCCAAGACTGGTTGATGTCCAGCCATCCAGTCTGAGTCAGGTGAGTGTACGTTGGGTAATCCAGGGGGAAATACATCCATCTTGTCTGAAGGCTGTAGCGGCTACAAGACATGACCATCTGAGTTTTATGTGACTTGCAAGCTGGTCTGAGAGGCAGGTTTTGACATATATTTATCAGAAGTAATAATATTCTTAGATCCAAACCTGGAGTTTGACTGTGAAGAGCCCTCTTGTCAAGCTGACCCAGCCCAGAGAATGCTTATTTTGCAAGCCTGATGGACACTCATACATTCTGATTAGATGTTCTGATGTCAACTCTGATTGGGAAGTAACTTGGAAAAGCGAGAAATTTTATGTTGACCTTTGCTAAATTGTGACTGTGTGGTCCAGAGATTTGTTATTCATTTGAGCAGGGACTGCTTTTGGATGCTGGAAAGAGAAAATTCAAAATTAGGTCAAGAAATTTGATTTGGAATTTCATTGGCCACCCTGAGTAGTATTTGGCAGGTTTCCTTGTCTGAAACTAGATTTCAGATAAAGATGGAAGTATCACATGTGCTTTCAAATGACAGAATGTATAGAAATGTCTTTGAATGTAATAATTTTGCTTAGAAGGCAAATGTATGTTTGAATATGTTTAAATAAAAGAGAGACAAGGAAAAAGAAAAGAGAAATGTAAAATTCTATGCAGAATCATTTAACCTTAAAGAAATGTCTGAACACTAGCTGGAATGAACTGCTACATTATTTGCCATGTGTGTGCATGCCTGTGCATTATCCTTCTCAAGGAATACCATGGCATTAGAATACAGTATTTGGATAGGCTGGAATTTCATCCTATTAGAACTGAAGTGTTTCACTTCTTTATGATACTTTAGCAAATTGTAAAACAATGTTTTAGCTGTCAGAGCTGCTTCATGTCTTGCTAGTCTTGGGAGCTAATTGGCCTCACCTTCACCATTTCCATGCAAACACACTGGTGTTTGCTCTGTTCCCTTCACGTGTTCCTGATGGCAAAGGGGTGTGCACCAAGTGCATAATGAGTATTAGCAGATGATACTACTGAAAATAGTTAATTGACAGTCATTGAATGAAGACTGAAATGCTGAGGCACACAACTAGAGATTAGAACTAGCCTGTGTGAAGTTGAAATGTCAGAAGAAGACTTTCCTGTGTTCCTCAAACCAGCAAGCAGTCCAGCCTGTGGCTAGAGTTAAGAAAGAATCAGGAATGTGGAATAGTTGCATTTGTGCCATTGGACTTTGTGATGCCTGAATGAGTATCCAGTTAGAAACAAACACTTCTGCGAGGCCCAGGTATGAAAAGTATGTGGGGTTGTGATTTTGTTTCTGTCTGTTCCGTGCAGGAGGAGCAGTTAGAAGCAGTGTTGTCAGCTGCTGTGCAAACAGGTTCTTTAGAGCTTCTGACGGGATGCATTAAACACTGGACTTCAGAAGGTAATGCTGCTTACATGGTTTTTATGTTGTGTCTGTTTGGGTAAGAAATTGTGGCTTCATGTCTTGTTTGTTTTCTCTTTTAAAGAGCAGCCAAGTTCTGCTGGAAATTTACGGTTTGTTCTTGAGTGGACGTGGAACAAAGTGATCTGTACAAAAGATGAACTGGACCAAATATGTGAGTACTGGTGTAGTCGCTTTTGAAACCTCGAGTCATTCTTTGTAAAGGATCTTCTTGAGTAATCTGCCAGTGTATGCTACTGGATCTTGAAGTGGTTCTTTAAGTCTTCTAGGGCTGTTTAAATGTCCTTTGGAAGTCTGCAGTTGCTGTGCTGACTGATGATTGAATATTGCTCCTTGACAAGGTGTTCCGCTGTTCGATGGCTCCTGCAACTTCATTGACCCGCAGACATTACAGTCCCTTCAGCACTGCCAGCTGCTTCTGAGCAACCTCAGCACAGTCCTGAACTGTTTTCTAACAGAAGCCCGAGAGCTTACTGAGAAAGGTTGGTGAAAGCACTGCTAGGTCTTTGGTGTGACTGCTAAGATTTGGAAGGATGCTTGGGTTATAACTGAGGAGACACAAGCTGTTGCTGTGTTGGATGGTTGGGAGAGAGCCAGGTTGAGCTGGGAGGAGGGGCTTAAACCTGAGAAGTTGGGACTTTGATTTCAGCCACTTGGAGTTCAGGGGAGCAGCTTGTTGTGGCTGGGTAGGGGAGGTAGGGAGATAGGGGAGGCTCCACGGATTCAGCACTGAGCTGAGTGAGCACCTGGGTGGCAATTGGAGCAACTGAGTGTGGTAATGCTGAGAGGTGTTCCTAATGGTTAGCTAGCAATTGATAGTTGTGTGCAAATTGCTGGGAAATATAAAGGCATCCAAAATGAGTAACTTGTAAAGCAATTTCCTTGAGATTTTTAGCTGGTTTTTGTTTGTTGTTGGCATATTGAGGGCAAAAGAAGACTCTCGCTTTGCTGAATTAAAAATCTCTGCTGCATGGAAAACAAATGTCTGAATATATCTAACAGTTCAGACTTGTTTTTTTCAATTTTAATCTTTAGTGATTCTGTTTCTTAGTAGTGATTGGTCTTTTTTAGGGGTGGGGGGAGGAAGAGAATGGTGTTTTTTTCCCCTTCAAATTCATAAGTGATCCAGAGAGACAGCTACAAAGACAGGTTTCTACTGTGTTTGTTTGCACTTTCTATTGGTTCTGCAAAGGGAGTTTTGTGAAACAAAAGGAATTGTGATGCTCAAATCATGTTCTGCCTTTTTTTTTTAGGTTTTTCAGACTTAACAAATAAGCAGGTGGTAACCAGCCTCATTTCTTTGTATGCACAAGTGGTGATCTGGTTCTGTCGATCCAGTCTCCTTCCCGAGGGTTTAGGTAAGCAGAACATGTAGTACCAAATACTTGAGGTTGTGATTTCTGTCCGTCTAATCCAAAGTTTTAGTTAAGAAATGTGGTCTTACTTCTTTTTCTTGCTTTCACTTTATCACCTGTAGATGATCACATGCATTTGTCTAGACCTTTCTACAATTACCCTCTGATTCAGAGCTACTATACGGGTCACCGACAGAAACTCGAGCATTTATCAAGGTAAGACTTAGAGGAAATCCCTAGAATGCTGCCAATGTCAGACTGTGAGAGTGGTTATTTTTGCAGTTACGACCCTTTGTCTGTCTGCACTTCCTTGGCATTACACGTATCAGAGCAAGAAAGCAAACCTGGACCGCAAAAGGTCATTGCAACTCTTCTCTTGGATTTGTGCTTTGGACTCCTTAATGGATAAGTTCATTGTGACCTAAGGACCATCTTTCCTCTGACTCAGAAATCTGTGACCCTGAGAGGCTGGAATGAGTGTTTTACTCTGTCCAAGGCCTTGCTCCCTTTTGTTGCAGAGGAAAATGGGATTCTGACTGCTTGATGATTGATGGAATGGTTTCCCAGTTGGGAGAGCAAGTGGAGAAGTTGTGGCAGAGAGATGAAGGCGGCACTGGGAAATACCCACCTGTTAGTTTACATGTGAGTGTTCTGTTCACTGAAAACCCCAGCAGTAGCAGCAGTCCCCTAAAGCCAATGATTGTGAAAGACAGGAGCGTTAGAAAACCATTTCATCTTTCATTTCAGGCACTGCTGGATCTCTATTTGCTAGAAAGCATTGAAGAAAGTGACAAACATGCAATTGTATCCTTTCCAGATTGTGTTAGT